GATAGATATGGAGAAAGGTGAAACTTTAGAGGTGGTCAAAGCTAAGAGAAAGGCGAAAACGAGAGCGAGGTAAAACTGAAAATGAAATACAGGGGGGGAAGAAAGAAAGAAGAAGAAGCAGGGGTTCCCGATTTTTTCTTAATTTCGCATCGGTTTGAACCGGTGCAAAAATAGTTTTTTTTTTAATTTCGCATCGGTTTGAACCATGCTAAAATACTATTTTCGCACCGGTTTGGTTTGAACCAGTGCGAAATCCCTTTCTCCCTGTTTTTTTCCTCTCTATTTTAATTGGCACCGGTTTGAACCGGTGTGAAAAAGATAATTTCGCACCGGTTTAATAGGAACCGGTGCGAAAAGTCTTTTTCCGAATCCCGCCCATTTCTTTTACCACCGGTTTTTAAGAACCGATGCAAAAAGTGCGGTGCCTATTTCATTTTTTCTACTAGTGATACCAAAAGTGTTTATTTCTACCGCTCTCTAACAAAACTTTGCTCCGACACTTAGAATAACACAACGCCCGAATAACACTATTGGAGGAGTCATATGGAGTGAAAGAGAACAACTTAATCAATGACTCCATCACACTATACTCTTTCATCACATATACCTCGAAATTATTAGAATAACGATTGAAACATAAGTCAAAACCTAGAACCTCTAAGTTGAAATTCTGCCCCTCTTGCATCTCATCTGGTAAGGGCATCCAACACATTTTTTCTTGTTGAGGTTAAATGCAATTGTAGTGAGCTTTTCTGATTTGTGTTTCGAAATTAATAGCCAATGCATGGCACCATTTAAGTACATACCACATGGATTTTGAACCCTACTAGTGTACTTAAATCTTGATTTAATGCTCTTCCAAGATCCACTTCTAAGACTATATAACCTAACATCTATATTAACACTTAAACGCAATTGATAGGTTAACCCACAAACGACAACTAATATCTTATAATCATCCCTTACATTATCATATTCGAACCCAACACAATATTGCTGCTTACTTTCATTTTCCAACCTTCCAAGGAGAGATCGCGTCGACGGGTTATATATAGTGATAACACCAGATCTAAAATCTTGGACACAAATCATCCCATAGCAACTGCCAACAGTGTACATTACGCTCTTATAATTATTGTTGTTGTTGTTATTGATCGATTTGTCGATTTCGAGCTTGATGAAATCGAAGCTTGGCTCGGTAACTCCGAGACAATAAAAGTTAGAACCTTTGTCGTTGCCCCATTAGAACGACAAGAGAATTGGATTGAAATCGAAGGGAATGTTTGAGGTGGTAATCAACAAATATGGACTGGAAATGAGTGACAACCATGATTTCAGGACGACTTTGAATCGTAGAAGGGATTTAACAGGAAGACAGATTAGTATCTCCACTATCACATCCATGGGAATCATTGTGTGATTTCTTATGGCTTGCAACTTTTGGATATGGTTAGGATAATAGGATTTATATTAAGATATGAATGTATATTATAACTTTTGGAATATTAGAATAAACGATTTTTTAGAGTTTGTGAACCGTAAAAATCGTTTATATTGAGATATGAATGTATACTAATATCCAAAAGTTGTAAAACCCTAATAATCATTTATATTGAGATCAATGTTTATATTGAGATTTGAATGGTTAGGGCTTACAACTTTTGGATATTAGTATAATTGTATAAGCGATTTTTTAAGTTTTATATTGAGATATGAATGTATATTATATGAGATATTATTGTTATGATATGAATATATAATATCTCATAATATTATATAATATATATTTATATCTCACAATAATATCTTCATAATAAAAGATAAGAATTTTTATTTTAAAAAAAAAATAAAAAAATATAAAAAAACCAATAAAAAAATATTAGTAATTGTTTGCTGTTTATATTAGTGAAAATTTTACAAGTAAACAAACTCATAGAGTCTTAGAGCAACTCAAGTGGTTGTAGTTAGGGACTTGCTTGCAATTTTAAATAATCCCTAGCTACTAGCTTAACCATTGGAGTTAGAAAATGTAATTTGCTTGGAAAAAAAGTTGCTAAAATAAAACAAATTAGAATAAATAAAATGAAATTTATCAACGTAAATTAAGGAGGTATGGTCCACTTAAATAGTAAGCTATTAGCTAACCATTGGAGCTAAAATGACAATTAGTTTAAAAGCTTATGTGGCATGGCAAGCTAATTGTCCATTGGAGTTACTCTTAGGATTAAAATTTCCACCCGTCAAATCAAAAAGAAAAAAATATTAGAACTTCCAAATCTATTTAAATTAATCTTTTTAATATTAGGGCAAAAAAAAAAAACAATACTTTACAAAATTACTTTGTATTCTATCTTTCATTAATTCCATAGCAATACCAAACCCAAGTATCTAGCCCTGATAATAATTTATTAAAATCACTCTGCAAAACTTTTGTGTTTTAATCAAAATCGTAATAAACAATCAAAATCTCTACTTTCTTCATACCATTATTCAAACAAATTTAATTTCAATGGGAAATAAATTTGCTGATAGGCTTGGAAATCTTCCAGAACATCTAATTCATCATATTTATTCGTTTTTCGAACAAGGCAAGACGAGTAAGATGATGAGCACGTATCTTCATCGTTCGGGGCGTATCTTCATCAAAGAACCTATCCAAACTTTGCTTTTCTATTGATTCTTTATCGTTCGGGGCGTATCTTCATCATCCTTCTTTCTCGGCTCTTGATTTTCGTGAATTCGTCGAAAATTTGCTTACAAGTACCTATCAAGATACACCTTATACAATATTGAAATTAACTTGGCAAAGAGGTGAACAAGGAACGGCCTTAAATTGTTACAAAGCGTTACCAAATTTATTTTTACCATCTATTCAACCTTTGGTGTTATGGTATATCGAGGTCGAATTACTCGACACTCATAGGCTGGGAGAGTGGATAACTTCGAGTTGTCCTAGTCTTAAGAAGCTTGTTCTTCACTTTGAACATTGCGCGTATAGTATTAATCAAGCAATAATCCTAGAAAGTCCGAGTCTCCAAGAAATCGAGATCATAGGGGCAGAAAACTCGAAATATGATGGAGTTTTCCGTCTAAAGATTACTTGTGCATCTCTTGAACATCTAACCTTCAAGAATTTTCAATTCGAGGATGCTACTTGTGAGATCACTATCATGTGTGAACAACTTCAAACACTGTATGTTGATCGAGCCAAGTTCTTGTGTTGTTCTGCAATGATAGAAGAGCATTATTTCAGGATACATGCGCCTAAACTACGGTATTTTTATTGGAAAGGAAGTCCAATGATGCAATTTTGTGGCTCAAAACGGAGCTTCAGATCATTGGAAAAGGCGGTGTTAGATGTATGGGGCACGCACAGTTTGAATTACCACAAGTTTCTCAACAAGTTACTAATTAGTATGCAACATGCCATTCAATTGAAAGTGATCTTGAAGGAAATTATGTGCCACCCGCGATATATTATGCATTGAGAAGTACTCCAATTTGGTTGTTTGATATTTTGCAAGATGAGATCGAATGCCATTGCCCACTCGTATCCTTTGTGGTTGTAAAACAAAATTGCTCGCGCATCTTTTTATTTTCTTTCATGTAGGCTCATAGATAAGGTAGAATTGGTTATCTTACTTTATCAAAGGTAGCATATATAATTAGAATTTTGGACTTACCATACATTTTATAGCTGATTCATACTTGTGTAATTCTCTGTTCTAAACTTTTTGTAATGCAACATTATTACAAAGTATGCAATAGTGTTTTAAAAGTACTTTGTATATATTTTGCTAGTTTGCTACACTTGTTAGACAAAATTCTCATATCTAGCTAGCAATTTGTTCGTACAAATTCTATAATACACTCAAGACTTGAGTCTAAACAACAGGATCAATGTATTCCATTGCCAACACTAATTGTAAAATTAAATCCTTTGCCTTGACATCAGTTAGTTTGCTTGTTATTCATGGTGCTCGAATCCAATCTTCAAACAATGTAGTGTCTGAGCTGCGATGCAGTTGAGAATAAATGAGTCCTCAAAGAGCCTCCTTAACTGCCATGACATAACCGGTTCAATCACATTTGATAAGCCATTTTCACAAATAAGTGAAATAACATACGAATATTCTTGTATGACATAAAATTCTGTCATGAGAGGCGTAAAGACAAACATTATTCAGGGGTAAGGAGTTCAAATACAGCACTTTTTAAAACTTTGATGAGCTGTAGTCCTGTCTAGCAGCCATTTCGAATGTCCCTTCACATGTACTTCTGTTGCAATCTGAGGAATCATCATTGATATCAACGAAATTCTAGTTAAAAATACTGATTTATGCTGGATTGCAGGGCATCCATAATAATAATATTGCCTTAAGTTTTTGCCTGTGTTTCAGGTACCCAAAAAAAATAAAAAAATTAAAAAAAGCAATGTTACAAGTTACATAATAGCTTATAAGCTGGACATTACATATAGGTAGAATAAGGTCGATAACAGGATAAGGCACAGCATTTTTCGTTCAATCGGAGAAGTATATATATATTACTTCTAGGGATGTGGAGGAGGACCTCCTGAACTGCTATCATAGGATCTTAATTTAATCCAATAATAACTTTTTTATGAAACAAATGTGACACTAATTATCTTGTAGTTCACAGTTTACTTGTCGAAGAAAAGAATTAATTTCTACCCAAGCAAACTGTTTTACAAAAAAGATTCTCAAATTATCAGTGTGTTTACTGAACGCTTTGCTTGATCCAATAAATAGAAATAGTTCCTGCAACTATGTACTCAGTGGAACTTTCTATTGATCTTTAAATATATATAGCTACGTCGGTGTCTTATCTCATCTTGATGTACACTTCCATATGGAACGGCCAAAAGTTTTTCAATCTTAAACTATTTAGCTCCATTTGTACATGAACTACATCCTTGAGGAAATTTCCCTTTGCCTGTGGAATTAGGCAAGAAACTTATTCCTTACTGCTGAATGCAGAACTTCCTGTATCTTTGACAACTAATTTAATAGTGTTATCCTAATCATATTTCATAAATTCAGGCTCCCTAGAGTTCTTACAATTCAAGTCCTTCGCAGAATATATAAATATATTTCATTTAGGGAACTATTGTATCATGTACCTTGGATTCAGCACAAAATGATATACAGTTTTACTTTGTGCTTCAGATTCTGAAAATGACATTGACTTAGAGGTCGGAAAGGCCATAACAGGTGCTTCAGTTTCCAAGGAAATTGCTGAAATTGAGGAAGTTTCAGGTGTGACTAAGATACTTTCATACAATGTATGTGTGGTTCAAAGAAGAATTAGAGGTGCATAAGAGGATGCTCAGATTTGCATTCAATCTGTGCAATTGCAATTTGCAAGAGCATGAAATGGACAGCTGTAACATTCAATTAGTAAATGTAAACAACAGTAAAACAAAAGTTAGCTGTAATCTTAAGCAAAGTATAATGTTTCAATCAAAGACATAACAATGTAACGTTATTGCTAAATTATAAATCTAGACCAGCTAACTGAATAAAAAAGAAGAGACCTAAAAAACTCCTAAGAAGTTGTTACTAATTAAGTTCACAAATCACAACTACTCTCATATAGTATAATCTCAGGCGGCTCTATTAACTTCAGAAACTTTGGATCTACTAATAAACTATCAAAGCATGACTCGGCTTTTAGCTTGGCCGAGAGCTCAAGAACCTCACTGGCACGTTCTTTGGTGACTAAATTATACCAAACATATCTCTTCACTTGCATATCGACAGGCTGCAGCTCAAGCAAGACTTTCCGGTCTCCTTCCTTGAAACAAATTGCAGTCGTGTAGAATGTAACATCATCAAGTCTAACCTTGAACAATCGAACCCAAGAATCCTCCCAACTGCCATACTTTTCCTTACGCCAAATATCAATCTCTAGCATATTTGCAGGATATGGTCCCGATATTTAACATGCTTGGTGAATACCACATGTAAACATCCTTTTAAAGGTACTAGCTTTGGAAATCCATAAGGAATCGGTGCTTCATACTGCTTGTTGCCCGTGAGATTGATGCTAAAGATACCTTTGATTCTACCCTGGCTGCCATAAAACCAATGTAAGGCATTGTCTGTTGCAACACCTTGCGCTTGTATGCACATTTTCGTGTGCGGTTTCCTTAACGGAAACGTGCAAGAATAGTCCCCAATCCTCTTCCAAGCTTCGGATTTTAAGCTATAAACATGTATTTCGCGGTCTACAATAACTGCAAATTTGTAATCCATGGTCTTAGTGTCACATGTATATTAATCATATCTACAAAAAAAAAAAATACTCCCTCCATTCTCTTTTTTTTTGCCCAATTTGATCGAGCACGGTCTCCAAGACGTGTATTAAAATGTCTATATTTTTATTTTCATACAATACACGTAAAAATTATAAAAACGTGATATTAATAGAATATATAATGAGACAACAAGACCACTCATGATTAAATGATATTTTATAGATTAACGGTAATTTATAGTCAACGTTTTTAAACTTTGACCCCAAAAATGATAATGAGGCAAAAATAAAGGGACAAAGGGAGTATTAAAATAAAAGCTGGTGACGGTGTAGATCATTATACTTTGAACTACACGAACAATGATATTTAGCTAATCTTAAGACTGCAACTTAAATTATTGATCCAGTCAAAATAATGTTACTAATCCATAACTTTATACTAATAAATATTTAACTATGAGAATATGAGATGGTTAGATGTTATGTGTATGTATAATCGATTGAAAGAATCAATATTACCTTCTTAATCATTAATGTTTTCTTTCATTATACAAATCAAACTACTTTGTAATATCTTCATATATAATTCACGGAAATATATAATGATAAACGAGTCTTAATTATCAGTCTTGTTGACTAATTAAGTATGGAATACCAAATTGCAAATTTCGATGTCACAACAACTCATCAAATCATGATTATGACACTATTAATTAAATGATCAAATAAGAAGCAGATAATAATCTGATAGTAAAACAATACTACATTAATAATGCACTAAACTTTTATAATCTACTTCGTAATAAACTAGTAAGATCAGTATCCCAAACTTGAAACATAACATGATATGTATTTATAAAATTAATGAGAATTTGTATATAATATGATGCCTAAATATGAAGTGATGAAGTCTCGGCTTGATATAAAACTTGTTAACCAGCAAAAAGTTAGAAAGTATTATCAAATTTCAAACCAAAACCATTAAATTGCCTGAATCCAAACGGCTCGATAAAAAACCGATTTTTTGAAATAAAAAACAGACCCGAACCGTAATTTAGTAAACCTGAAATAAAACCGATCCGAATAATGTTAAATCGTAGAAAAACCAAACCCGTTAACGAACCGAACCACTTATAAATTGAACTAAAATAAAACTGAACCAAAAAAAAAACCGAACCGCTTCCAACCCGAAATCGTTTAAACCGGTATAAAAACCGTTTACACCGAACCGTTACATATCGCAACCCGTCTACACCGTACTGTTTACAACCCGAACCAAATTTAAACCGCTCAAGAATAAACCGAAACCGAATCGAACCAATTATTATTTAAACCGAACTGAAACTGACCCGTAAGACACTTGAACCGATTTCAAACCGAACTAAAACCGAACTGTCAAACCGTTTTGACAGTATTAATTGATCACAATTCAGATTAACCAGCAAAAACTAGGAGAACAAACAGCTGAAAACCTTTCTATTGCTTGAATTAATCTAGTTGCTCCCCTTCAACACAAAAAAAATAAATAAATAAAATATTTCTAAGTGTTTTTTGACAAGTTCAAAATCTTCAAGAAGCTATTTCGTGTTCACGCAAACAGCAACCTAACCCTGCCAAAACACAAAATAGGGGAGCTTACAGGAAATGAACATGCTATTTTATATTACAGCAAGAATATGAATATGAGCAAAAATAACAAGATCTATAAGGCAACTACACCTCTATAAATGCCAATTATGTAGTTAATGTATTAGAGTAAATGTTAAAACAGAAATCACAAATGGTTGGTGATTAGTCACTTTTTTATGCTAATCTCTGATAGATTAACTTTAATAATCTTTTGAAGGAGAGAGAAACTTACACATAACTTAGTCAAACATCTGATCAACTATTAGGCAACCCATTGACAACATCAACAATAAAACCACACAAGTCAAAAGGAAAAGATCAGAACCTAGTGCTGATCACCAAAAACAAGGAAAATTCCAAGAATAAAACTTAACAGTCCTAGTTGCAAAACTAAATTAATAAAGAGTTAATTCCATTGATTAACCTCCCAACAACTTTTCACTTTTCTTAACAATTTAAGAGAATCATAACCAAATCTGTAACTACTTTGTGGCAGTGTGGCCTGTGCTTATTTCTAACCTTCAAATTCGAAAGAGAAGGAAATCATTTTACTACAATTTGGAACATTCCTGCTAATTCTCCTTATTTTTACTCTGTAAATATTATAAGTACATGAAACTCTAACAAAACAGAATGACACTGTGAAGGCCTTATCTGTAAGCAGAAAATCAACCAGAATCTTCTTATGTACTCAATGCAATTAATATAAGGGGAAAAAAATTCGGAAACAGTCTAGCACTCGAGAATACTTAGCAAAATGTATATTTCCTATAAATATATAAGAGAGAGAAAGAGAAGGGAGAATATCAAGAAAAGAAAAATATACCGCTTCTTCTTCCGGTGAGTCTTACAGCTACCAAAAACAAGACTTTCAACCAGCACAGCTATTTCGGGATGTGACGGTGCATTGTCACTCCAAATCAAGATATCGGGGTTGGACTTGTCAATCGATCGCAAACCACGGATCATCACCCTCTCCGGCTTCTGCCTTTGCAAATCAAACCAAATAAACTTTTCATCATCTTGTTCAAGAAGCACCTTAGAGCCATCCTTTGATAAGGCAATTGGCCTCACATATTCAAAAGGTTCAATTACATGTTGTTGCCAGACTGTGAACAGCTCAGTCCAAGAATCTTGATCACCATACTCCTTCATGACCCACACCTCACTCCGAATGGTAGGATAGTATACTAGCACACATAAGCGTTGTTGTAACACTTCGACATTCAAATGGACTTTACCAGGTGAATACTTAGGCTGCGGCACAATCTTCAACTTTTCAGAATTCAAATCAAATGCAACTATCAGCTTGGACCCATCTGATTCAGGCTTCACAGTTACCATCCAATGTAGACAACCACTGACATAAACACCCATTTTTCGTTTGTAAGAAACAAAATATTCACGAGGAAAGTCATGAACCCTTCTCCAAGAGCTTGTCTTCAAACTAAAGACCTTGACTTCACTTTCATATGATTCAGGTCGACTATTATAAAACTGTGGGAATTGTACAGAAAAATTCACGAAAATCTCTCCAAAGATATTCTTTACACTTATTCTCTCAAATTTCTTGCAAATTTTTGTGAGAATTCTCTTGCAATTAATTCAATAGTGTGAATTATTCATCTTTTCTTCGATTCTTAATGCAAAGAACGTTGGGTTGTCTTTTGTATCTCAAAGAGTATTTCCGGATTAAACCCAAGCACCGTTGTGGGGGAAATTAAACTCTTTAGGAAAGTGTTCACACGCCTAAGACAGTGTATCAAGGATTGAGACTCAAGTGGTCACTGAAATTCTCATGTTCATGTTCTTGGTATTGGCTTGGAGTTGAGGCAAGTATAGAACTTTCACATTAGTGTTTTTTGTTGTATTTTTCTGTAATACTTTGATAATTTGGTGTTTGGTTTAATACATTGATTTGTATTAGGATTGTTGTATAATTTGATTTTGATTATACATTTTTAGGTTTTGTTCCCACAATTGTTAAAGTAGTTCTTGTTATTGAATTACTTGAAAACCTAACAATCTAAAGAGTTTGAATACTTAGCAAGCATGTCTAGTGCGAAAGAATTGACCACAAACTTTGTCAAACTCAAGAAGTTTGACGGTGTGGAGTTTCGGAGATGGAAGAAGAAGATGTACATTCTTATTACATCTTTGAATGTAGCTTATGTCATTAGTACTCCAAGGCCTAGTGAACATGAGAATGAATCCTTGGAAAATGTTCGGGAAAGATCGAAATGGGACAACGATGATTTTATTTGTCGTGGTCATATATTGAATGGTATGGAGCATGATCTTTTTGATGTGTACCAAAATGTCGAGTCGGCTAAGGAGCTTTGGGAGTCCTTAGAGGGCAAATATATGCTTGAAGATGCATTAAGTAAGAAGTTTTTAGTAAGTAATTTTAATAATTTTAAGTTTTTTGATGGTCGGTCCATAATGGACCAATTTCATGAATTACAACGAATCTATGTGAACTTGAAACAACATGGTATATCTATGGATGAATTGTTTGTTATTTCAAGTATAATTGACAAGTTACCTTCTAGTTGGAAAAGTGTTAAGTATGAGGTTAAACACAAGAAAGTGGACATGTCTTTGTCCGAGTTGGCCACCCATCTTCAAGTTGAAGAAGGGATAAGAGCCATGGAAAATGCTAAGGATGGGAATCCTAACTCATCTACCATTAATTTGGTGGAGGAAGGAAAAACTGGTGCTTCCACTAGTGGAAAGAGGAAGAATAATAACTCTTTCAAGGGAAAGTCCAAAAAGCAGTGATTAAAACAATAACAAGTTTGCTTGTTGGGAATGCGGTAAGGTTGGTCACCGCAAGAAGGACTGCTTTTCTTTCTGATTGATAATACTTCAAATTAAATCAAACTAAAAAAAAATCAAATCTGAGCTATGATTGATAATACTTCAAATTAAATCAAACTAAAAAAATTCAAATCTTATTTTTGTTTGAACTTACATATTGTAATTATAAGAAATCACATTATACATTATTAATCTAGTGGCGGAAAAGCTTGTGATGATGAGGCAGTCGTTCAGCTATGGTGGTGATGGCGGCGATGGCACAACGATGGTGGGTGATGGCGGCAGTACGTAGCCCATAGCAGTGATTAAAATTTTAGGGTTGAGAGAGAGAATTGTAAGATAATCAATTTCCCAAACTTAATTAATCTATGCCATTTGATTCAAAAGCCCACCAACCAACAGGTTTTGAGGATGATAAGAAGCAATAAATAATGAAATTATCAAATAAAATTTTAGCAAGGATTAGCAATGGAGAATGATGGAACTTTGGTTTGGACGGCAGGAGAGAGAAAGAGATGATTGGCTTTTTATTTTTTTTTAAATGTACTGGCATAATTATTATAAGGTGAAAACCGCTACTTCAAGTAGCGGTTTTCCTATCTAAATCGCTATTTGAAATAGCGATTTTGTGATAAAACCAGACAAAAAAATATAATCAATTGAACCGTTGACATGGACAGTATATTTAGAATTGATAAAAAAAAAAGTGGTTGTATTTGTGAAATTGCAACACTTCTCAACATTATTTTGGAAAAGCACTCAATATTTACAGTCAAATTGAAAAAAAAAAAAAAAAACCTCGATTTGTGTGCAAGAAAATGCCTTTGTTAAGGTGAAGTAGTTGGTGGGGCAGGTATTTTGCCATATGTCATAACACCACACAAAAGCTACACCATCAAACTAACTAATCACAAAACAATCATTTTTTCATTCAAAGTTCAAAGCTCAAACCCATCAACAATGGCGGAAGAAACCCACCTCTCAACCCCACCACCATACGACATCATCATCCTCGGCGCATCAGGCTTCACTGGCCAATACGTCCTCAAAGAATCCCTCAAATTCCTCAACTCTTCTTCTTCTTCCCCTCTCAAATCCCTCGCAATCGCAGGTCGAAACCCCACAAAACTCGCCCAATCTCTTTCATGGGCATCCCACCCAAACCCACCTCCCAACATCACAATCCTCACTGCAGATACTTTGAACTTCGATTCGCTCCTTCACATTGCTTCGTTAACTAAACTCATCCTCAATTGTGTAGGACCCTTCCGCCTTCATGGCGATCCAGTGGTTCGAGCTTGCTTCGAGACTCGTACCGATTACTTGGACATTTGTGGGGAGCCTGAGTTTATGGAGAAAATGGAGGTTCAATATCATGATCAGGCGTTTGATAAGGGTTGTTTGGTGGTCTCTGCTTGTGGGTTTGATTCGGTTCCGGCTGAATTAGGGTTGTTGTTTAATTCTCGCCAATGGGTTTCGCCTTCGGCGCCGAATACTGTTGAGGCTTACTTGAGCTTGGAGAGTGATAAAAGGATTGTGGGTAATTTTGCTACTTATGAGTCTGCTGTTCTTGGTGTTGCTAATGCTGATTCTCTTAGACAGTTGAGGCGGTCTCGTCCCAAGAAGGCTCGTCCTCAGGTTGATTTATTTTGGTGTTTTTCGTATGATTTAATTATAATTTGGGAGTTTTTTTTTTTGCTTGATTTGATTATAGTAGTACAAGAATTGACTAAACTAGCATGATTATAGAACGAGAAAGCAAATGTGGTTCAATTGTGTTGTTATTTGATGCCATTATTGATTACTTTCCCCGCTCTCTTTTAATTGCAATGCGGGGGATGCACATTTTTGTGAGAAAGGACAGGGAGATAAAAAGGGACCTGTGTGTTGAGGAGAGATAGAGGTAATCATTGGCCGAATAAAATAATGTTGCAACTATTTTGCGACTTCCAAACGAAATGAGTTGCGATTTTGAGACAATCGGAGGAAATATTTGCTTTTGTAGGGATGTGATTTTTTATTGGATGTTGACATTATGTATTGTTTGTATGCTTCTGCCTTTTGTATAATGCTTGGAGAGTAGGAGTTGATCAATGAATGTGTAGGTTGTCTTGTTGTATCTGGTCAAATGAAAAATTGTTTATGGGAATCCTTCGGGGTGTGCTTACGTGGGAGAAACTTTTCTGTATGTTTTTCCTAATTTAGTTGTTTGGGCTCCATTGATTCCTCAATTGGGTCGTGTTTTTGACAGCAGTATGTCTTGTACAGTTTAATTTCGTGGATTGAGTTGCTGATATGTTTATCCAACATGAGCAGCTAGTGTTGCAATTTGTCAACTACTTTTGTAAGTTTAGGTCTCATTTTGTCAATCTATGCAAACATTATCCGGGTGGAATGGTTTTGTGGTGGAAAAGGTTGTTTTGAAGTTATATCTTACACCTATTTCATGTGCTTCTGGTGTTGATGTTGTGTATTGCTCTCTTTGGTAGAATGTTTATGGGGAGCAAGAAGGTTTGTAGTGGATTAGTACGTGGAACGAAGTTTGATTTTCTTAGCCCTTATCACAAGTCAAGTCATTTGAGTTATATATGTGCACAAAGAGATTATGGTTTTCTGTCAGACGATATACAAAGTAATTCATATAGTTTTTGCTAGGGTGCTGAGTTGTTGACTTGCTCTGGTTACTTCAAGAGTACATAACAGTTAATTGCCGCTCACATTAGTATATGGGACATGAGATAGATAGAGATAGTCCAATTAAGTGAAGATGTTCCTTAAGTCTGTTTTTGCATGGCAATTGAAATATTAGTATATTGTAATTTTTGGTGTTAACAGTAGCTCAAATAACTGACTGAATGAGTCTAATTTTATGTTGCATAAATGTAAATAATCCTTATAAATACTTTAGTAGTATTCATCAGTTATGTAATTTCTGGTACATGCTTCAGTCTTACTGCTAATTAAGAGTGTATCTAGAGTAAATCCTGGAGCTTTTTGAAATTGAAATGCAATTGATTCTTTCAACTCGTAATATTTAAGCACTGTTCAGACGTGAACCTTTTAAAGCATATATTTGGTACTCATTTGACTATTTCTAATTTTAATGATGGTGAACAATATTTTTCGGTTTTGCTCTCTTATCCTTGCCCTCATGTGCCTTTTGTTAAGAACACTTTTGTAAAAGGGAAAATGTTTACTTAATTTATCTAATCTGAGAGGGGAGGAGGGATTGATGGTTGGTGGGCGGTTGAATTATTCTTTCCTTTTCAGAGTTTCTACATCCATGACTAAGAGCTAACTCATGCTTTTTCTCGCAGATTCCAGGTCCTCCTCCTCCTAGAGGACCAACAATTGAACAACAAAAAGAGGTTGGCCTTTGGGCTGTGAGGCTACCTTCAGCAGATTCTGCCGTTGTACGAAGAACCCTTGCCATACTGACTGAAAATCCCAGTGGACTTCGTGGGGTGAATGAGAGTGCTGATAAAATAGCTGAGAGAGAGAGATTTTGGTCAACTGTGAAGCCAGCTCATTTCGGGGTGAAGATTGGCACCAAATCATTGCTAGGCATCTTGAAATTTATCACTGTGGGGGTGTTCATTGGGCTCTTGGGTAAATTTTCCTTTGGAAGGTGGCTGCTTTTAAAATTTCCATCAGTTTTCAGTCTTGGGGGGTTCAGGAAGAAGGGGCCCACTGAAGCTGAGGTTAGTCATGCAAGCTTCAAAATGTGGTTTGTTGGTCACGGCTTCAGTGACAGCAGTACTTCATCCCTGGAAAACAAAAAACCTGACACTGAAATAATCTCTAGAGTTATGGGACCAGAGATTGGTTATATAACCACCCCAATTATTTTGGTTCAGTGCGCTCTTATTACCCTTAATCAGAGACAGAACCTGCCTAAAGGAGGTGTTCTTACCCCTGGGATTGTGTTTGGACCAACTGATCTGCAAGAACGGCTTCAACAGAACGGGATATCGTTTGATCTGATATCTAAACGTGCTTTGTCTTCGTAAGTGATACTCATTTCCTTCTCAATTTAATTTTTAGGTTTCACATCCATTTTTTTGTAATCTGTTTTGTTAAAGTAGACAGCAGCTCATAACTATAAACGGAACACAGTGAACTTTAGAGATTCAGAATAAATGCCTTCTAGCTTTTCAGTCGTGTGTTACAGTCCTGTTGGTTTATTTGGTCTTATTACTTTATTTCTTGCAAATAATTTGTACACCGTCTTTTTAGCTATGTGCTACTACACAAGATTTATGGATTGAAAGAAGGAATGAAGAAATTTTGCATGAGAAACATTTACAAAGGACATATCAAATTATTGGTCCTGAACTTATGTGATTAGATTTTGCAAGGTTGTTTATTATTACTCCTTTCATCCTACGGGGTACAATAGAGTACTTGAAAACAAAAAAGAATCGGAGATTGATGTTTTCCAATAATCCAATTATTCATGACCAATAAGAAATAAATTTAGTATTAGAAACTTTACTCGAAGTATTAGAAACTTTTGTCAATGAAATTGTGCAACATGGCAACCTGTGTAATAGGATAGTTTAGGGAAAAATCTGTTTTCAGAAGATACTATTATAGTTGGGACCGTCCTTAATTAATAGGTAGGCCATAAATAATTGAAGCCTTTTGTAATTTTTTTTTCCATTATTATCTGATTACTACCTTTGTCTCAAGTAGTCGGCTAAAAGATAGAAACAATAATGCATCACGTTTTATTTAATTTAATTTTTTGGCCAAACAAGAACAAGATACAACCTCTAGACAATTTACTTGGAATTACAAGCAAAACATAAGTACTTACTTTATCAAAAACTTAAAAGCACAAGCATAACATAGCACTAGATAAGTTGGGGTTCCAAGCAATCTTTAAAGGAACTTTTAAATTCACACTGATTAGGGATTTTTCCCCACCAATCACCATCTGACAAGTGGACCAATTAGGTTCCGCCATGTGTCCGTCACATGGGCCAATAGGAGCCTGCCACGTGTCAAACAATGATCCGTCCACTATGGACCAATTACGACACGGCACGTGTCCTTCCCATGACACCTGGGATAACCGGTCACCTAGGCCCAACTTCCGAGGGAAGCCCAATCAGCCCAAGGTTAACCTAAACCTAGATTGACACGTTTCCCGAGGTTATAAATACCTCCCTTAATCCTCATTAAGGGAGATAACGCAAAAAACGCAGATTACACACATTAAACACTCTCACCTAGAGAGACCCAATCACTTTAATTTCCGCATTAATTACTCCTTAATCAAGTACTAACTTGACCGTCGGAGGCGGATCTCCAATCATCCGGAGCATCCGTTTGTTTTGCAGGTACAGGCGTCCGGTTCCAGTCTCGAAATTGTAACTCTCCCGCAGGACATCAGAAAACCCCGAAACATTTGGCACCGTCTGTGGGGAGAGTACTTCTGAGATGGCATCCACGTTTGTACCGGCTCCTGAAGAGAGACGTCCCCTGGACGACCCTCTAGTTCAGTCGGACCACGATACTGAGAATGAATTTGAAGTTGAAGCTCACACAGCTTCAGACGGGACCCTAAGGGCCCGACGTACCCGTCATACCGAAAGGAGGGAACGGGAACATCTTCAAACTGAAAGTGAGCCAGCAGGCGCACTGCCTGTTCGGCAGCAGCCGACTGATGGGTCTGCTCCCATCACAAGGAACGAACTCATGACCTTCATGAGGGACTTCAAGGGAGAAATTCAAGAGTTGATCAACAAGAAGCCGCCTGCTCTGGACAAGGAGCAGTCGGCTAAGAAACCCTCCACTTCACGGAAGAGGAAACCAGTTCAAGGGCGAGAGGCGACCCCTCATCCTAAATCTAGGAAGTGGGAGCCACCTGCCCTTGATTTCACAAAATACCGTTTTCCTACTCCAGGAAATAGGAAACCTGTTCGTCATATTCAGGCGGACGGGTCGAGGAAAACATACACAGACGCTCGGCTACTGCTAGAGCAGAAGAAGAGTGACCGATTGTCAGAGTCGGCCTCTACTTCAAACTTCCAAGACAGTCTGCGAAATACCTCGATGAGGCATACTCAGTCGTATCATGAGAGTCAGTCAGGCGGCACCTCCCGTCAGTCCGGCTTTCATAGCGACCAGGCGGTACCAAACTTACCGTTTGTACCGCAACAACAGTATTTTTTACAGCCACCTCCGTTTGGTGGACATACAGCAAAAAATGTCCAACCTATAGACTGGCAGCTACGGTTGCTTAGACTTGGTGAACAGCCGTCGGCCTTCTCCAAGGAAATTACTGAAGCCGCTCAGCCGGCCAAAGTGAAAAATGTATTAGTAGGTGCCTATGACGGCACTACTAACCCAGAAGACCATCTGATGGCATTCACCAACCTGATGTACCTTCAAGGGTTGGATGATCCCACTTGGTGCAAGTGTTTCCCAACGACTCTCAAAGGAATCGCACAACAATGGTTCGGCAACCTGCCGACTGGTTGTGTAAATAACTTCAAGACGCTTGCTTACTTATTCACCTCCAACTTCGCCATGAACATCCCTGCGAAGAAGACGACCCTTGATTTAGGAACAATTCAGCAGGGCGAGAAGGAGGGGCTTCGTTCTTACATCAGGCGGTTTAACCTGATGAAAATACAGATTCAAGGGTTACCGGATGAAGTAGCCTATACTGACTTTTTCAGAGGTCTCAAAGACGGGTCGACCTTTAAATTTGATTTGGTCCGAAAGAGGGTGGCGACTCTTCAAGAGGCCTTGATTGAAGCGGAAGCCTATATACAGGCGACTGATCTTTGTAGTACGGTAAAACAGTCAGACGGGAAAAGGTCCGACAAAAGAGAAGGACGACAGAAACAGTCGTCAAACAAAGACGAGAAGAGAAAAGAGGTTTGGGCGGCTGATTCCTCTAAACAGCCGGCCCAGAAAAAGAAAAAAGAATTCAAACCATACTCCCCAAAGTATGCGTTTAACAAGGATAGCCATTTTATCCTAAAGGAAATCAAGGGACGGATCTCAATTGAGAAGCCGGTCCCCATGAAGGGTTCTGCAAACAACCGGAACCAAGAAAAATTCTGTGCTTATCATGAAGATGTTAGTCATCACACCAATGAATGCATCAGTCTCATGCGGTATCTAGACCGCCTGGCTGAGCAAGGTGATCTTGACACTTATGTCAAGAAATCTACGGGGAACACTTCCTCAAAAAAGCAGTCGACCAAAAAGAATCAACAGGCCGACAGCTCCGATACAGATGATGCAGTCGTCTACACCATTGCAGGCGGCTTCTCAGGAGGCGGCCCCACTATTAGGGGTAACAAAGACAATATCAGACGGTTAGATGTAAATTCCGTTCACCAAGAACGGCCCTCCAAATATCCATTTCCTGAGATTGTCATCACTGAAGAAGATCTAGGAGGGGTAAGAGGGCCGCATGACGACCCTATCGTTATTGAATGTAAAGTGGCCAACCAGAGAGTTGGCCGAATCCTCATAGATACCGGAAGCTCCTCAGATCTCATCAGTAGCAAATGTCTGTCGAAACTAAAATATCAGACTGATTGCATACATCCGGCATCCCACCCTTTAGTAGGGTTTGGAGGAGGAGTCGTCCACCCAGTGGGACGAGTGGATTTACCCATCTGCCTGGGCGAAAAAGGGGAAGGACGACACATGGTAGTCTAGTTCCTGGTAGTAAAAGAACTCTCGGCCTACAACATGATTCTGGGACGACCAACCCTGAATAATTCCAAGGCTGTTATAATCCCATCTCTTATGTTGCTCAAGTTTGAGAGGGATAATGGAACAGTCGGGTCCCTAAGGGGAGATCAGAGGATGGCCCGAGAGTGCTATCTCTCGGATGTCAAGCCCACTGTTATGGCCACTGGGTCGAGTGGTGGAAAAATAGACCTTGACAATGTCAAGGAGAGTGCGCATGTTCAAGAAGCAGGCGGCAAGAAGAGAAAGGCATCCCAGACAGGGGCCGCAAGAAAAGACAGAAAATAGCAATCATTGGCAGAGGAGCGGTCGGATGAATTCTGCCCTCAGCCGGCTGGTGAGCATACGGACTTGATCTTAGACGATTCACGTCCTGAGCGAACAGTCAAAGTTGGGACGACTGCTCTGAGAGTCCTCGGTGACGACTTTCACAAACTATTGAAAGAATACAAGGACATCTTTGCATTCGAAGTCCATGAAATGCCAGGCATTAGTCCTGATCTGGCGGTACATAAACTGGTCGTGGATCCGAAAAAGAAGCCGGTACGGCAGAAGAAGCGGAACCATGGCGAAGAAAGAAGTCAGGCGGCAGCCGCCGAAGTTAAAAAATTACTTGATGCAGGGTTCATTCGGCAATGTTACTTCCCAGACTAGGTTGCAAATGTGGTGCTTGTTAAAAAGCCGAATGGCACCTGGCGAATGTGTGTAGACTACACAGCCTTAAACAAGGCGTGCCCCAAAGACAGTTACCCTCTGCCTAAAATTGATAACCTGGTTGACTCAACAGCCGGCCATGCTTTGATGAGCTTATGGACGCCTACTCTGGTTTCCATCAAATTCCTTTATGGAAGAAAGATCAGGAGAAGACGGCCTTCGTCACTGATCAGGGGTTATACTGTTACACGGTCATGCCGTTTGGTCTTAAGAATGCCCCGGCCACTTTCCAGCGAATGATAAACACTGTTCTTTGATCAAATTGGGAGAAATGTCGAGGCATATATTGATGATATGATTGTCAAGTCTAAACTTCAGAAAGATCATCTGTCGGACCTCCGAGAAACTTTCGTCACACTCAGGCGGCACCATGTCATGCTCAGTCCCAAGAAATGTGGCTTTGGAGTTGAGTCTGGGAAATTTCTCGGATTCCTTATCAATCAGAGAGGAATAGAGGCGAACCCTGAGAAGGTGCAGGCGGTCATTGACATGCAGTCGCCTCGTACCATCCGAGAGGTTCAGAAGTTAACAGGTTGTCAAGCGGCCTTGGGAAGATTTCTAAGCCGATCAGGCGACAAATGCCTATACTTTTTCCAGGCAATTAAGAAAAAGGCAAGGTTTGAATGGGGGCCGGATGCTGAGGCGGCCTTCCAGAAATTGAAAGTTCACTTGCATTCCTTGCCAAGGCTGGTCAGCCCTTTGCCCAAAGAAGTACTCTACATGTACCTGGCCGTCTCTGATCATGCGTTAAGCGCTGTTCTCCTTGCTGAAAGAGACGACTGTCAGCTCCCGGTCTACTTTGTCAGTCATGTACTGAAAAATGCCGAGTTGAGGTATCCCTTAGTGGAGAAATTTGGTCTTGCACTCTTCATGGCTGTTAAAAAATTGAAGCCCTACTT